AACTCAGGAGAGACTAAGGTGACCCCCCCCTCCAAGCCCTACTTTCCCTCCTTTTGGAAGGCAACCTTTCTTGCAGCAAATAGCAGTAGCAACCCCAGCAAAGTCTTCCCTTGTTATCAGCTGTTCCAGCTTAGTGTTAGACACAACATTGTGGTGCTGAGGGAGTCCTGCTGCTGTGTCGTTTGTCAATGGCTTGTTTTAATTCCTCCTGAATACTTTTGAGCAGGACCTGGCAGGAAAGCGATCTTCTTGATCCAGAAAAGGCCAATCTCTCTCTCTCTTTCTCTCCCCATCTGGAGCTCTGTATGCTCCACTTTCTGTCGGATGAAGGAGGGAAGGCAGGATTCAGCAGAAGAAGGTGAAGGCTGGGTTTGTTGCAATGGTCCTCCAAATAGTTAGGAAGTCACTCAGGCTCCGTCTTTGCTCCAAAGGCCTGCGGCCACCAAAGGGTTGGCCAGAAGGGCCAGGCATGAGAGGAAACACACCAGGCATGGAGCACAGCCAGCCTCTTTCTGTAATGCAGTTGGGATGGCTGGGGTGCCTTATCTTTCCGACAGCAACAGTCATCACACAGCTGTTGCAAATACGGCGCGGGAGCAGGACTGAAACACAGAGACACGCTTGTCTCCAAATGGGCTTCTGCCCACATTGAGCATCGGTAGCAGCATTTGCAAACCAAGGCATCAGCAATATTATCAGCCACCATCATCTACCCTTCAGCAGTCAAGACAATTTCACTGGTTTAGCTACACATGGATGTGCATTTTATAGACATCGGTTTCCAGAAAAGGTGATCCTGGAAATATGGTCAGTTTAGATCAGCGTATATGCCTAGGCATTGCTCATTGTGCTTCCTTCCCCAACTTTCTTCTGCTTCTTTTCTTTATAATCATAATTTGAAAGTCTATTTTTTAAAAAAAGGAAATATCACTGGATGGAATCCTTTTGATTGCTCCAAGCTAGAGTAGACGCACTGGATCAATTGTTGAATACCAAGTCATACTGATTGCTCTGCAGAGGCACGGGATATAAATATTATTATGATTATTATTATTATTATAATAACATATAGATAACAGCAACTGATTTAACAGCTCTAGTCCAGCCAGGATTAGCAACAGGGTTCAGGCCACACTTTTCTGCAAATACTGAGGAACAAGTGGTTCAAGTGACTTTAATAATGGTGGCCATAATCCAATATAGTGCAGCCATTAGTGGAGAGCCAGTGTGGCCTAGTGGATTGAATACTGGATTACAACTCTGGAGACAAGGGTTCGATTTCCAGCTCAGCCATGAAAAACCCACTGGGTGACCATAGGCAAGTCACACTCTCTCAGCCTCAGGGGAAGGCAATGTTAAATGTCCTCTGAACAAATCTTGCCAAGAAAAGCCTGTGATGAGTTGGAAATGACTTGAAACCAGGATAAAATGGGAAAAGAAAGAAGAATGAGCCCTTTTAGGGCAAGCAACAGAGAAAAGATCCAGCTTAGTCCTTGTGCAACCCTGACCTGAATGGACCTTCACACAAACACACAGGGACAATGGCAGAGACTCCTTCAAGCCCAGTGCCTCCCAGTTGGAGGTCTTGCCAGCTGGCATGTCCAAGCGGTGTGAGAAGAACTGTCTCTATGAGGAAGCCATCCAGGTGAGGAAATCTGACGGACGGGATGCAGCAGATAATTAGGAATCCATCCACCATGTGTCAAGCCTCTTCCCTGCTGAATATGTTTATGTTTCTATTTTGCATTTCCAGCTTCCAGGCTTCTACTGCTGAGGTCAGATGGGGACCTTGCCGCCTCTTCCATCCGCAGGCATCCCCAAGGCCAGAACGGACCCCTCTCCCCCAAAAAAAACCCTCCATCTGATGACTCTCACGTGGATGGCTCCCTAGACAAACAACCAAGAGAACAAGATGCTCCAAGGCTCAACCCAGTCCTGATTCAGGATGCTGCTGCTGCTGCTGCTGCCTTTTCTTATTTCCTAGGGTTGTCACAGTGTCCCAGATCAGCTTAGAGATGAAGGGCTGTGTCAGGATGTAGAATCATAGAATCATAGAATCCTAGAGTTGGAAGAGACCACAAGGGCCATCCAGTCCAACCCCCCTGCTATGCAGGAACTCCCAATCAAAGCATCCCATGTGCCATGCAGGGTCTGTATAAAAAGGGCTATGAGCCATGAAAATATGGCTGCCCCTTACTGCAACCTAGGACTTTATCACATGGGCAAAAGAGATGGGATAATAGCACTATGCTTCCATCAAAATATTGCAATAACAGGATGCTTTTCATATGACATTGCTGACATCGCCATTATCCCATGAATAAAGTTGCAAAATCATGCCACTTTTTATTCACAGGAAAATCCCATGAATAAAAAGTGGTGTGATTTTGCCACTTTATTCATGGGATAATCACATGATAATGGCGACATCATGTGAAAAGCATCCTGTTATTGCAAAATTTTGTCAGGAGCATAGTGCTACGATCACACCCCTTTTGCCATCTGATAAAGTCCCTAGTCTTAGTACCAAGGGTAGGGAGGTATTATGTAATGGCTGGTTTCCTGTTCATGAGCAAGACGGAAGGATGCCCATAATCCCACACTAGGTGAGATTGCAAAATGGTGCTTTTCTTCCCCTTCATTTGAGGACTTTCTGCAAACATTTCACTTTTGGAAGCAAAAGACACCTCTCCTAATTTGTGCGTTCTTGTGTTCTGCCATTGTGGCCCCACTCCAATGTTGCTTAGCCACACATGTTTTGGTCTTTACCTGTGAAATGCTGGAGGATATGGAGGTAAAGCACAAGACTAGCTAGCCAGGCCTTGACTTTCTAATTCCTTCTGGTTCCCGGCTGCCCCAACCACAAGATAGTGAGCCTTCCAGGGTCCAAAACACACTGCAGAAAAATCCAGTTTGAGACTGCTTTAACTGCCCTAGCTCAGTGCTAGGGAATCCTGGATTCTGTAGTTTATTGTGGCACCTGAAAGAGAAGGCAAATGCCTCATAAAACTACAATTCCCAGAATTCCCTAGCATTGAGCCAGGGCAGTTAAAGCAATGTCAGACTATATTATTTCTGCAGTGCAGATACATCCATAGTCTCACCAGGACGGTGGTCCAAAGGCACGGTGACCAGATGTCATAACCTTAGTCTGAAACTGGATTATTTCTGCAGTGTGTTTTGGACCTTCCTAGGGCATGGGTGTCTGTGTGAGTGTCTGTGTGAGTCAACCAGGAATGCAGAGGGTGGTCTTTTCCAGAACTCAGTGTCTTGTAAGTATTCCCTTCTGGCCACGGCTCAGATCATCAAGAGCCTTTAAAAAACATAGAAGGAGTTGTCAAAGGAATGGCTGTTGGTTTTGGTTTTTTTAATTATTATTATTATTACTGGGAGTGACCTCACACATGTTCCGGCCGAAGAGCCTTGAGTTCAAAGGCAGACCTCCTAGCATGTGTTTCAGCAGCCGAACATGGAGGGAGCAGAGGCAATTCTAGGAAATCGCACCCGACACACAGCGCCTGTCCTCTCCGGGGTCAGACCAGGCCAGACCCAAATGTCCGTGGCTTGTGGGACCACGCCTGGCCAGCCTCCTTGACCACGGCCTCCTATTTGGTGCATCAGGCATACAGAGGTCTGCTTTCAAGATGCTTGCACTTCAAAAATAACTCTGGGGATGCAGTCCAGCTGTTTAATTTTTTTGGCAGGAGGACTAATTGCTCTCTATGTCTCTGTGCAAGGAACTCTGCGGCAAATTAAATCCGGGTTCTAATGAAAGCATTCCTGTGGTTCTCTGGCACACAAGCTGCGCACAAGATGCCGGCACCAAGCTCTCATGTTGGGGGGTGAAGGGGTCTCATGGCTGGGCCTCCCAGGATTCGGCAGAGGAAAGGTCACTCCAAGCCCAGGTTGTGGCTGGGAAAGAGTTTGGGAAGTGTCAAAAAGTCCTCGCCAAAGTTACTTACTTGTCACTGGCTGAGATATAGTGTATGGAAAAAGGGCACCTTTCCCCAAAAATTCACACACAAACAAGGCTTGAGACACATTTTCCCCCAAACCTCCCATTTTGATAAACATTTTCCAGGCACCAGATCATTCATGCATTTATTAAAATGTGAGCAAGCCCAAATGTGTTGTAGTCAACACTCCAATATGCACACAGCAGTGCATCGATAAATGTGTGCATTGTGGAAAACATGTGCACCGATTTCCAATGCAGGTGGGATTCAAAGAGTTGCAAATAAATAAAGACTGAGAGATTCCCACATCTTTAGCTGAGATCCAATAGTTTACAGTTGGGGGGGGAGATGCTTACCTTTCAGGCTTTAATGTGAACTTAGAAACACAAATATTAGGGATGTAGCTATGGAGGGGGAGGGATGAGGACATTGCCCTTCCAAAATAAGAACTGCATCCCTAAAATGAAATTTTCCTTCAGATTTCCACATATTTCTAGTACTGTAATAACACTCCTGTTGAGAATTTACAGAGTTCAGGCCTCTAAAGAAAACAGGCAGACAAGTGACCAAAGAAAGAACACACCAAAAATATGAGTGTTCTTGGTATGAATAGTTTTAACTGTCTCACTGTTTGCGTGCTAAAAATTTGGGGACTGATGGAAATTTCAAGGGACGGTGTTCCTATTGCAAGGGGGCAATCCTTCCCAATCCTCACCCACTCCCTCTCATAGCTCTAAACCAAACAAATACATAGGAAAAGCTTTAGCGGGTCGGACCAAGGACCATTCCTGCCCAGCAATGTGGTTCCAACAGTAGACAACCATTTTCTTTCTGGCCATGTTGGAGAGTCCCATCTTCTGTGGTTCTTTGCACCCCAATACCTCGCATTTTGAGATACATTCCTCTAAACAGAAGTCCCACTTAGGTCTCTGCTAATGGGAAGGTAATCACCATCATTATCATCTATGAGTTTACCAATTTTAAAAAAATGAAATGTCTTCCAATTAAAAGCAAATTAAGAAAAAACCAATGTTGACAGTTGTGTCCTCCTCTCATGAAAGATCCTTTCCAGGTTTGTCGTGATGACAAAAAGGGAGAAGCTCCATGGAAGATGGGAGGGATACAATGGGGCCTTTTGGGAAGGATTAATAAAGCACCTGCTTTAAATTCTGGAGGCCAAAGTGGCACAAAATGTTCAGGAGGTTGCTGAATTTGTTCTGTCTTTCGCTCTGAACTTGAAAGGAACTATCCAAGATGTGGTACATTTTTAGAGGACAGGTTCAGTGCCTTGGATTTTTAAGGTTCAGACTAACCCCACCAAGGACTCAGCCACACACCCGTCACACAATAATCCCCCAACAACCCCCATTTCTATGGCTGGGAACCTGGTGGTTTCATATTTAACATCAAACTGTTGGCTTTTCTGCAATTACTATCTGATTGCTTTGTTTTGTTTCCTTCGGTCAATTATGTTCTGATCTGATGGAAAATACTTCAGTTGGTCGAGCCCAGATTTTAAACAAACTGAAGAAAAATTGCTCAGTATTTCAATTGCTGGAATAATTCCTAGGAAAGGTTTTCCAAGGGTTAGTTAAGATAAACAGGATTTTGGAGTTCAAAGTAATTTTAGGGGATTTGGGAACTTTTAGGGAATGGGGAATTCCAGGACTCTATCTCAAGGATCTCCTTCCACCCAAAACACAATCAGGATGGAGGACCCTCTTCGTTCTGCTTTTCCTCCATTTCCAATTAATCTCTAATTGTATTGCATCATGCCTTTATTAGTCTGCAACTAAAATAAATAAATGCTCTCAAAACTGAGGAGTTCTTCTTTCCTTATCTTTGTTCTAACAGTAATATGCATTTTTGCTTCATATAATGTTCATTTTTTTCTTTCTTTTTTCCTTTTCTTTTTTTTCTTTTCTTTTTTTTGCATACACATTTCCTTTATAACTGATTGATTTTGTGTGTGTGTATGTGTGAATTTGTATTCTTTGGGGAACAGTTTTGCAAAATTCTGAGGAGTGTCAATACTGGATAATTTCTGTGTTCCACTTTGTATACTGATTTGAGAAGAAAAACTTGCTAGGTTCATAATGTAAACTGAATTCAAGTCTCCACCACTCAGGGGAAAAAAATTATGTTTCCACCTCAAAATATTTTTCTGTGCAGAAAATGCCAGAAAATACAAGACAATTGTGCATTTTTCATGCAGAATAAGTCCATTGCTGCAAAGATTTCTATCCATCTCAGATTCTCCTTCTCAGGGTTTCCCAGCCCTGAGAAGAAATCATTTTGGAGGTCATTTTCCAACTATTTTTGAATATTCTTTCCATC